CGACAGTGACATTTGCGTTTTTCAATATTTGTGCATTATTTGTGTGAGCAAAATTTATAATGCCGAGAAGTAATTATCGAACTGGTAATAAAACTAATAAATACCGCAGAAGACAGTCTGTCAAAATATACCTCGCAATGATGAATGTTGGCAAAATAAAATGTAATCAAAATAGTGGATAGTAGATTCGAAAGGAATATGGAGATTACAAATTGAAGTTGTTCCTGTAATATATACAGGGTGTCTCAGGTTTAGCTCGTCTAACTTTGACAATCAAAAGCAAAAATTGAAATATTATACACGTATTTTTTTGTTTTGTCGTGGAGACACTTGTTTTCTTTATACGGGGTGTTCGAGGTCGCATGAATTTTTGGTTTTTATTTTTTATTTTTATGAAACCAAACCTAGAGATTTGACATTCGGTAAGCACTTTTCTACCTGTTATATAATATGAACTGTCCCTATCCTTCTTAGTTTCCTTGTTATTAGAAATAATGTTACACCTACTATGCATAACAATTTCATAACCTAAATGTTTATCTTACATCAAATTATCATTCAAATTGAATATTGAATGGTGCACGTACACGAAAGATATTGAAACAAATGAAAAACACAAAGTTTGGTGAAGAAATAATAATGATTTTTCATTAGCTTCGATCCACCACTAGCGTCCCAATAAAAAAAAATCAGACGAGTTCCATGTCAGAGGGCTCGAAAGAGAATAATATCGTTACTCCCATTGGGGGTGACGAAAACACCCAGTTTTTTCAATGGATAAGGACTGTTCATATTGCCGATAGAAAAGTGCTCACCGAATTTCAGATCGCTAGGTTTTGTTTCAACTGAGACAGAAATTAAATCCAAAAATGTATGCGAACCTTAACACCCCGTATAATTAAAACATGTTTCTCCATGACAAAACAGAAAAATACGTATCTAATATTTTGAGTTTTGCTATCGATTGTCAAAGTTAGACGAGTAAAACCTGAGACAACATATGGCGTTGTTTATTACACAATATAAATTCTGTTTATACAAACCAAATAATTCCACTCATGTAATAGTTATTTTTCTTCCCCTGTAACAATGCATTTTGATATTCCATTTGCATTTGTCTTCAATCAATAAATCATGTATAGGTGAGTTCATGCCATTCGAATGGCAGTATTTTTCTGTAAAAAATTCCCTTTCGGTTTTTCCCTATTTCGAACTGTTTTTGCTGCCTTTCTAATATTCAGATTCGTACTTTCGAATTATATTTTTGCAGTTGAGTTTATACATACCACTAATTTATGCTCATATAGGGTATACCGGGTATATTCTTTTGAAAACTTCTCACCCCTACAATGTCATTTAACATTTTTGAGGGGCTGGCGGCTGGAATGAGTGAATCCTCCTCATAGTTATTATTGTAGCGGGACACAAGGTAAAAGTAATCAAAAAAAATTTTGGAAGTAGAAAGATATCAGACCCTCACTATCCTATCTAGAAACAATTGACTACTTTTTTCTATGGTACCGAAAAAAGTTATAAACGAACAAACTCAAAAATTACATAAAAAAATCTACTTCGCATGTAAACGTATAAACTTTTGTAACTTGGAGACTACATAACTCAGATGCCTCAACTTCTCATCATTTTGTTGAGGATATTATGAAGATTCGATCGAGGATTCGATCCATGGTATATAAACTGGCAAAATTGAGTTTTTTATATGTGAAAATAATTTTTTTGTCACGCATTACATAAGTAATTTAGCATCAACACCTCTGCAATTGATAATAACTTTCTTTTTCACGATATGAATTTCAATTTTTTCTCCCATCTAGATAAATTGAAGTGTAACGAACAATTTGTGTCGAATAAACTTTTCGCACGTTTCAAAAATAAACTTTTTATAGCGCTTTGAAATCACAGTGAGTGAGACAGAGTGCGATAGATACTGGTGCATGAGTGCGGAACGAAGATGAAATAATATCAAGAGCTCCATCCACAGATATGATGAATATAATAGATTTATATCGATAAATTTACATATTTGCTCGCTAAGAATGTCAATTTTGATGTGAAACATTGAATCTAACTAAAATTTATCACACATTCCTCTCAAAGACTGAAATTTTTTTTTATCATAAATATACCATATTGGTATACTATAGTTTGTCCAGCTGTATAATGTTGATTAATTTTTTCGGGGACTCATGTTTGGAAAATTCTAGCATCTCCCAATATCTTCTTGGTATTTTTTCTTTACCATTTTCACTTCGTTGCCTTTGAAGTGAATTATTTTGGGACCATATTTATGAACTGAAGTTATTTACCTACATATTCAACCAAGAACGCTCCTTTCTCCATTCCCAAATGAAACAGTTATCCTCCCCGAATCTTTACTATTTGTTCTTGTCTAGAGCATGTAAACGCCGCTGTATCGTTCTCACTGGGTGCTCGGATGGCCTCTTACGTATTAGACAATAAATGCTTCTACAAAGTTCATTTTTGAAACGTGCGAAAAGTTTATGGGAAACAATTTGTTGCTCACATTTCAATCTATCGAAAGATATCATAAAAATCGAAATTCATATCGTGAACTAAAAAGTTATGATGAACTGAAGAGATGACAATGGACATTTTTTCGCGAATTCTGTACAAAATGATACATTTTGGATCGAAAAATAATGCAATTTCCTAACATATTATATATGAATCGAATCTCCAGAATATGCTTAATCATATTATGAAAAGACTACGTATATAAGTGCTATAATTGCGAAGTTACAAAGGTTTATATATTTACGCGCAAAGTTATTTTTTTCTTAAATTTTCGAGTTTGGTCGCCTATAACTTTTCTCGGTACCATAGAAGAAAGTAGTCAAGCTGGAATATTATGTAATAATCATATATATTCAAGATGGTGAAGGTCCTATATCTTTCTACTCCGAAAAAAAAAGTCTGTAAGGAAGAGAATTTTGCCTCGTTCTCCTCTACACTAGATGTATATTGCCTAAAGCACAACTTGTACGCTGTGCCTGTTGGATTTATTCGGAGAATTCAGACGACCGCAGATAGGGGTAACACTCAAGGCCGCTTTTACTATGAATGTTGAAATATTTTACGCTAGAATGAGTTGGAGTGAGACACTAGACGACTTCCTTCGTTATCGGGCCCCGCCTCCTTCGGACAGGATTTTTACTTCCCCCTTTACACCTTAGATAAAGTTTGACCTTTTTCAGAGGGTAAACCCCATCTTAAACAAAGAGTTGTTGCATTTTTGAAATCTAATAAAGTATTACATGAAAACCAATTCGGTTTCCTTGAGGGTCTAGGAACAAGTGATGCAATGTACGAAATAACTCAAGAAATTACAAAAAATCTAGACAATAATAAAAAATGCATTGGTGTATTCCTTGACTTGGCGAAGGCTTTTGACACGGTAAACCACGAAAAACTCTTGAATGTACTCTATCACTATGGAGTTAGGGGAACTGTATCCGATATATTTCGTAGCTATTTAATGAATCGCACACAACAGGTGAGGATCCAAGATAACCTAAGTGACACTCAAACAATAAACATGGGAGTCCCACAAGGAACTGTTTTGGATCCGATTTTATTTATTGTTTACATAAACTCGCTCTTGAGAATAAATGTAATGGCTAAAATTGTCTCTTATGCAGATGACACTGTTGTTGTTTTTAGTGCACTGACATGGAATGAGGTGAGAGATAATGTCAAAAAAGGACTTAAAACTATTGAAAACTGGCTTGACAAATACCAACTATCATTAAATATAAAAAAAAACTAAATATATCTCGTTCACCATTACAGATCATTCACGCCCCAACTTCAATAAGATTGCAATAGATAACATTTCTGAAGAAATTGAAGAGGTGATGGAAATCAAATATTTAGGCATAATTATTGATAAAAATTTGAAATGGGATAACCCCATAAACTACTTGACTAACAGGATACGTCATCTGATTTATAAGTTCTATCAACTAAGGGATTTTCTCAATAAGAATGTTTTGATCCAAATCTATGAAGCATTGGTGGAATCAATTATTCGATATGGGATATTGGTCTGGGGTGGTCTATATGCGAGATCTCTTCGGAAACTAAACATCATACAGAATTACATTCTGAAAGTTGTTCATAAAAAGAAAAAGGACTATCCCACTCGTCTGCTATTCCGTAGAGATGTACTTGATGTTAGGTCACTTCATATGTATAGCTTGAAAAATTTTGTCAATAATATTTATAGAACGCGTAGTGTAGAAGTTAGACATGTTAGAATACCAAAGGTTCGAAAAATATCAACAAAAGATTTATTAGTTATCTTGGTCCGAAGTTTTATGATTTGTTACCTCTGTCAATAAGGAATTTGAGAAATATGAAAAAATTCAGCATTAGTTGTAAAACATATATTGTAGACAATTTAGTTACCTTTCTAGAAATCTTAGAAGCTAAATGATGAATATTCTGATTAACTGATCACAATTAGTAAGTTCATTTTTATACAATACAGAACTCCACAGGATATCCAAAACAGTGGAAGTCCAACAGGACAGCAACAACATAATAATATTCATAGGTCTACAAACTCTTTTCAACTCACAACGATGAAAACACGATTCTCTCCTAGTTTCCTTCGATCTTCAGATTTTAACTTTCATATGTCATAGGGCTCTGCGTGCTCTTCTCGATATCCAAGAACAAATTAAGTTCCTCTGTTCACCGTCCTCCTCCTGGAATCGAATAACGAATTGGATTTTAATGTATTGCCAGTAACTTAAGTTCAATAAATTGAGAACTAAACCATTACCAGGACCCCATGCCGTTTTTAGAGAGGATATGATATGCTACGATACCGATCGTAAAAAAGGCTATGTGCTAACTCACTCGAGTATTTTAATGCTCGTCACTTTACCTCAATTTTGTCTAGGTTTTTAAAATATTTCATAACGAATGTTAATGGAACAATTATTTGTATTTTTCAGTGCTCATTAAACACTCGAATAAATGTCTTATCCAAGAGTTATTCGATGCTGAATTCAATATCTGGACGAAGCCCGATTGTTGTGGAACAGAATTCGAAAATGGTAACAGGACTTGGTTCTACTTTGGGGTTAAAGGTAAGTTTTTTCTAGCTAAAGTAATTATTGTCATATAAGCGAATTAGAAAGATCCCAATGAAGCCCAAGATTTTCAAATAATGTCACAAAAAAGTTTTATTCTTTTTGTCAATAGATAATGAATCTTCTTTCGAAACACGAACATCTTTCACCTCAACATCTATAGTGATATTCGTAATCGTTTTTGAATTATTGAACTGAAAATTCCAGGTAGGCCATTTTCATCCATACACATTTTTATCTGTTATTAAAACATCAAAAGTCCAATCAATAAATCAGTGAACCGGTTTTTTTATCGAACGAATTCAAACCAAAATTAGAGCAAACATCAGAAATAGTTGATATGCTAGTAAATTACCAATTAAAAAACGAAAAAAAATCCATTTTCAAAATATCCCATAAATTCATAAAACATTAAAAACAAAACCAGGATAGTAATTTACAATTATGCAAAATGGGAATTTTGTTCTTGTTCACTTTGTGAATAACTAGCATATGAACTATTTCTATTTGCTTTGATTTTGATATCAGATTTTTCAATGAAAAAAACAAGTCTACTAAATTATTAATTGGGCTTTTGATGTTTAAAAACATATGAGAATGTGTATGGATGAAAATGGCCTACCCATAATTTTCGTAGTTCAATAATTAGAAAATGGTTACTAATATCTATATGGATGTTGAGATAAAATACGTTCGTGTTTCGATTTAATACCAAATGGCCTAAAAATATATGGTGTTTCATTCGAAAAAATCGAGAAAAATTACTTCCAAAAGTCCCGAATTGAAAAAACATTTTTAGCCACTCTGTATAATTTGAGTATTTTCTCTTAAACTCCATAATTGGGATTACAGTGATTTTTCCGGTATGGATCTGCAGATGACATTATTTCGACAAAAAAATTAATAACTTTGAAATGATCCAGAAATAGTCAACAATATTATAGGAGTGGATGGAGGTCACAGGAATGTTTCGAAAAATGTGCTAATATACAGGGTGTATCTGAATAACACCGAAAAAATTCAAGGGCCGATTCCTTGTGATATTTTAGGAAATAAAGTTCATATGGACATGTGTCATAACTTGATTCGTTTTAGAGATACAGGGTATCAAATATTTCCATGAAAAATCGTTTTTAATTTTATTACTCAATTGTCTTTCCATCAATTTAAATAAAACGTTGTGGTTTTGTTAATAGTAATATGCAGCTTCTTCTGGTGCAATAAGATTCGGAATAATATTTCCAGTGGCGTCACAGTGAAAAAATGTTTCGATATTTATGGTGAATGTCATTGTACTCCACGGGTTCTTCTGAGTTTCATATTTTTATTAGATCGAACTATTAAATTAACAACTTTTTTAGCCTTTGTGTAATTTTTGTATCTAGCTTATTTTTTGAGAAAACAATAAAAATTCGATTTGACTCCAAATTTTACTGTAGGTGTTTTCAAGACTACCATTGAGATTACTCAATAACCCCAATCACAATCATTTTGAAATTTTAGGGCTTCCTCAGTCTCCAACCATACTGAATTTTGGCACCATGAAAGCTTATTCAGGGAGGTTTAGAATGAAAACAATTTCTACTTTCAACTTCAACATCCTGTATCTCAAAAACGGAGCTAGTTATGATACATGTTTATATGAACTTTATTTGCTAGAATATCACAAGGAATCACCCCTTGAATTTTTTCGGTGTTATTCAGATACACCCTGTATAGGGCATTCCATTTATAAAAATTGATCCTGATCCTCTAGATTTTTTCCGATGCCCCCTGTATATGCGGCAATAATTTCTAGATACGAACCTTGTTGTCTCATTGACATTCGTTTTTGAATCAAGTTTCTAACTATCATAGAACTCTAGCAGTCGAGCTCCGACGCACTAATGCCCTGTATGTTATAATTTGTTTGAGTTTTTTCCCGCATATACAGTGTGTTTGCTGATGATTGATAAAATATTCGTGAGGTGATTCCTGAAGTATATTAATGGAAAAAAGTTTTCATAAACTCTTATCGATAAATAGTATGTACTCCCTTTAGACGGTTTTTCCTCGATATTTCTGAAACCGTTCATTGAAAAATCTCAAAATTAGGTGGGTACATGGCATGATGCTAATGCTGAATCATAATTAGAGCTCAGAATTCCAAAATCTTATTTAGGAACGTTACGAAGTGGATTGGTGGAAAATAATTGTTCATTGTATTTGTAGAATGAATGTGATACCTGTAGGTTTTTTATGTGAAAAAGGTACTCTTAATTCAAATCGATATAGCAAGTTGTTTATGAAAAAAATCGCAATTTTTAACATTGATCTCGACATTGATGCATCGGCACCTTGATGGGCACCTTAGAGGCGAGGTTTCCTCAATATTCTACAAGCCGCTCACACTGAAAATTTGAAATTCTGAACGCTGCATACTTTTTACGCCCAATTTGGTATCCTCGTCTGACAATTTGAAAACTCATCACAAGTGTATCATACTGAAGGTGTTAGGTTAGAATCCTAGTTTTTGATGGCTTGTAAGGAGATAATGGGTATCGATGTGATAAATTGCTATTTTCTCCAAGAAAAAAAGTCCTATTATTGCAAATTTTCCAAGTATCTGATAAATCATAGAGCAAATGTTGAAAATAAATCATCATTAGAAAACGGGGTTGTTTTGACCCGCAATAACTTCGGTATGATACGTCTCTGGAAAAATTCTGAAATTCAGAGCTCAGAATCTCATCTGGCGTTGAAAGTTCATGCAATGTACCAAATTTCAATATTTCATTGTGAGCGGTTTCGAAAATATTCAGGAAAAGCCGTCTTTTGGATGCAGATGCATTGATGCAGAAACTTGTGATTTTCTCGAAATCTATCAGCCCTATTGATATGAACTGGGCATATACCTTTCCAAGTAAACACCACCAAGTATATTTTTCTATCAAAATGTGACAAAAAAAAAACGTAGGGATTGTTAACCACTCCAGAATGATGCCATCGAAATTTCATGATTTTTGGATAAACGGTTCCGAAAATTGTGAGCAAAAATCGTTTCAGGTTGCCCTATTTTGAGGAGCGGAGCACCCTTAGGAAGCATTTCTCCACAAATATTTATAGGAACTTTTTTTATAAAAAAAACCTCAGCAAACACCTCTCTGAATTTCACCAATGTTTAGGAAACACTCACTATATATTTGTATAAATATTGGGATTCTGAAGCCCGCGATACCCCCTGACGCGAGGGCTGGATCCGCCCTTGTTAACGCGTGAGTGATTGAAATGTATGATCTAGTGATCTTTTTATATGTTCTGGGGAAAAGGTATATGTTGCAAAAAATGCGTCTCACTAATTAATAATACAAACTTCCGGGAAGATTCACGTCAGCACAGTTGTCGTTTTGTGGATAGATTTTCCGGAATTACCCTGTAGAATTTTGAATTCACTCGGCCGTTACTTGATGGAAATCCATGGCAAATATAAAAACTTCACAAACGATAAGATTTCTACAAAATTCTCAAACACACGACATGTTTCGCTAACACAGTAGTTTCGTCAGGTGATATTCAGTTCATTGTACCAGTATATCATCTGACGAAGATTCTGTGTTAGAGAGAGAATTTTGTGGAAATCTTATCGTTTGTAAAGTTTTTACATTTACCCTGTAGAAAACGTAAGAATCGTCCGGGACTTCAAAGTATAAGAATCGACGCGGCTCTCCTTCTCCTACACCATATTCATTCTCTTTTTTTGTACTTTCGGGAAAAAAAACTAATACTGAAAGCAGGTAACCTGTTGATATCACAATTCAATCTGATGAGTACCAGCTGATTATTTTGTGAGTTTGTTTCAAATAAAAACAACAGATTTTAGTTGAGTTAAGTTTTAGATATGATTGACCACATTGGTCTCTGTTGAAAGAGACTGAAGGACATAGGTACTTCAATATTAAAAGTGCGAAATAGTAATTTATACGCCATGGTGGGAAATTATATAATTTTCGCAGGGCCAAGAGTATATCCCTAGGGTTGAGCCGGCGGATATAAATTCGTATATAATTGTCATCGATTCAGAAATTTCAACCACATCGTATAACAATGATTATTTTCTTCATATGATTTTGAACCAATCAGAACGTTTAATTGAGTAAAGCTACTTTGTATAATTTCGATTATACGTGAATATGCGTTGAAAAAGTGTGGTGCCACTAGCTGAAAAATTGTTGTAAATGCCCATAGTCGAAAAAAAATTATTGAGAGCCCGTTTGATTACTTATAAACTCGATTTTTCGACTATGGGTATTGGGAACAATTTCACAGTTAGTAGCATCAGACTTTTTCAACTTCAAGTAAGCCGAGAACAAATAATGTATTTTTTCACATCAATCTATTTGAATTGTTGAATTCGGCTGAAGATGATCTCTTATAAGACCGAAACATGTCCCTTCTGATTCTGTAACAACACCATTATGATTTGTGGAGATGACTTCGAGCATTCCTTCCTTCCTTTGGTCATATTGTTACATACATACAAAGCGCGTCATAAAATGTTGACGTTCGTTCAGAACTACTCAAAAAATAATAGCATCGAATACAATTCTAACTTCAAACTATTTATGGTTATACATCTCAAACTTCCTGCATAATTACAAATCGAGTCAGTTCAACAGAATAATTTAAACTGTGAAATTGACACTCTTTGCAATTATGCAACAAGTTATCGATGTTCAACTCGAATATTGTGTATATAAGTATAAGTACTTTTTTTACAATTTTTTTTTATTACTATTGAATATACCAATTGAGACGATTAGAAATGATATATTTTTATTGACAAATCGATAATAATTGACACAATAATTTCTTGATAGTAAGGTGAACTCATATACAGGTACTTGCTATATAGGAATACCACAGTTAGTCGTTGAACAAATTGACACAGATCACTTGAACAACTGTACAATGTAGGTTAAGTTAGGTTCCATGTGAGTGGGGCGAACACCTCCCCTCCA